AACTTCACCTAAGTGAACATGAGGAATGGTGCCGTTCCTAACAAGACCTTGGTTTAGTCTTGTAAATGTTCATGAATCCAAGATAGAGCACAAGGCCGAAATAGTGCTAAACGATTGGAACATTTTTGAAATATGGGATAACACATATGTGATATATTTTCGGTATTTGCTTAAGAGACAAAGTTTAATGCAAAGCACACTATTGTCTTGTGAATACTTTGAAGTATGGTCACTAAGTAAAGGTTAAAATCGAAAGATACCTTCATGTATGTATGTGTTTATCGTTGTTAATTCTGAAGAAATATTACAATCTAGTGGGGGATTGTTAGAGAGATTGTAATATATCTCTCAACCTTGATATCACAAAATTGGATTAAAACACATTCGGGAAGAGTGGGCTGTCGCAAGCACGCGCTGCAGCGCGTTTGGGCGCTGCAGCCTGCGCAAAACAGACCTCTCGGGTCTGTTTTGCTAGGCACGCGCGCTGCAGCACGCGTTTGGGCACTGCAGCCTGCGCAAAACAGACCCGTCGGGTCTGTTTTGCTAGGCACGCGCGCTGCAGCGTACAGCAGCGTGCGCTGCAGCGCACGTTTGGGCGCTGCAGCGCAAATCTTCGACGGAAAATGTGTTCGTGTGTTTTGGTGATCTGAAAAGGTCTCGAACCATTGCATCTATTTGTGATATGTTTTCTCACATATCTGAGCACTTATTAACAATAGAAATAACTATTGTTATAAGTGCATCAGCATATAAAAGATAACCATCAAATTGAAAAGGTATCTTTATGTGAAAGGTTGTAACACTTAAAGAGGATGTATGCATCCCTGTCTTTATACGATGAACTTCAGAAAATACAGATACATTGTTTGTTCTGGAACTCAATATTTTTGCTGGATATTGTGTTCAAGGGTTTGTTGTATCTTGGGGGTAATTTGCCATTTAGAACTCGTTAGCAAACTTTGAGAAGTGAGGGCAAATAAAACCTTAAAGGAAAGTATTCCTATACGCCTCAAACCCTTCTTTCTGAATTCTCTATTCTTTTCATCCTTCCAAATCCGAATTTTCTCCAACATTACTCTGAATCCTTTAATTATCTGTTAAGGAAAAGAGTAAATATACATTTTTACTTTCTTTCCATCTATCATCTCTTTTAAAAGAACTAGCACGATCCCGCTTTTTTATCTTAATTTTTTTGTATTAAGAAAACTAGAGAGTGAATTACAATAAACTCTACTAATTGATCTTGATATAAAATTAATGTTAAAGTGTTAAATTACGGGTTATAGTTAATAATAAATATTAAAGTCCAATTAGTATTAACACAGTATAGCCAATCAATAAAAACAATTAAAAAAATGTACTTTTAATATATTAATATTATAAATTTGTCATCTATTAATACATTAATATAACAAGTCAAATGATAGTATTAAAATTCAAAAAGCTAAACAAACAAGGTTTAAAAAGAAAATAGAATGAATAAAATAAAATAAACAAACAAGATTAAAGTATGTGGTCTGAGAGAATTCATAAGCCATGCGTATAAATCTTGACTATTGCATTTAAAACCAAAAGGAATTGGGTTATGGATAATTGGATTGCTTGGTTGAAGTAATATATATATATATATATATATATATATATATACACACACACACACACAACTTCATCCATTCTAAATACAAGATTCCCTTTAAAACAAAAAAAAAAAAGAAGAAGAAGCAACTAAGCAGTTAACTGCAAAACCCCAAAACAATGTATTCTCCCTTCTTATATATCTATAAGATAGGCCGAAAACTAATTTTTATGACAACTTTTGTAACTCAATTAATAATGACCGTTTTTAATGAAAAATTATGATAAAGTCAATTAAAAAATATTTTCAAAATTTTAAATGATAAAATATGATTTAATTGATTAAATATCATTTTAGACGTAAAAATTGAATAGATAATTTAAGTCCAATTAAATAATATTTTTGAAAAGTTAACGATAACTTTTTATATTGTAATTCATTATATTGATTTTCTGTTTACTCCATATGGAATAGTATCTCCTTTAAAAGCATAACACAGTGACTTCAAGGCTTTTTGATGCAATGGAATAGGATTTCACTGGTCTAATTTGGACGGAAAACGGGACATGAAATCTAAATATACTTAAAAAAAATTCCATAAGTATAAAATTTCTAATTTGAAGAGAAGACACAACTTTAGTATTTAATTCTCAAAATATTTAACTCTCCTATTATAATGTGACTATTTATAAATCATACACAAAACGATAACAAAATAACCTCTAAGATAAACGACAAACTAATAATGAAACAAAACTAAATTAACAAGCTATAATAAACAATAAAGAAAATGTAAAAAACGACTACTAATAACTAAATCTCCCTACATCACTTTTGGGGGATTGAAGTATAAGGGCTTTAGAGGAGGTTGCAGCCTCCTTGTATTAATATATACGGAAATGTCTTCAATCCGGTAGCCGTACTAATCCAAAAGATGCAATATATTTTGTTCATCAATGTAACATTATTTGTACATTCGTGTAATACTCATTTTATGTAAGTGTAACACTCAATAAAATACAATCTATCATCATTACACTAAAAAATTATAGGTCTATATGAAAAACGTTATGTTTACCATTACCGTATTGCCGCATTGCCGCATATATAGTCTACAAATGTTGGTTCATTTTTTCATCTAGAAAAAAAAAAATCATAGATTTTTTTTTTCATGAGATATGCCAGATTTTCTTTTTTGAAGTTATTCAAGAAGTTATTCTTCCAGAGAGATTGCAAAGCTTTTCATATCTGTGTTTTCTAAAAAGTTCTAGAATGTAGATATGCACTTTGCTTCCACGTTAAAATTTACTAAAAACTCGAACCATATTTTTGATATCTTTCCATCTTAAAAAGATTCGGTTACGTTAGCTATTTTCATTCCCCTAACGGTTGTCAAAACCAGCCCCCAAATGTGAAAAGTCCCCATAATTAGACTCCTCAATATCTCTATAAATAATACACTTTACCATTTGCCAAATCAGAAACAATTCATTCTGCAAAATCATGGAGCCTCTTCTAAATCCCAGAAAATCCCATGTAGTTTTCTTCTCCTGCATCAAACTTTTCTTTTTTGCTATTATAATTCTCATGGATTAAAGTCCTTTTCTTGTTTTGTACCATGATTTTGCGTTTAATTAATTACTAATTACATTGCAGTAATTTTAATCTCTCTCTCTCTCTCTTTTAATATCTTCTTAATTGCAGGTTAAAATTGGATCAGCCATTTTTATGCTTGGATTAGTGTTAATTTTGACTGAAACCAGCACAGCATACGGGGCCCGGGACTTCAACAAGGTGGGCCATACCCCCTGTGGGGCAAAATGTGGGCGAAAACACAGCGCCGTGTTGACTGATTTTGGTGGCGTTGGTGATGGAAAAACATCAAACACAAAGGCCTTTAAAGCTGCCATTGATCATCTCAGCCAATTCGCATCGGACGGCGGAGCAGAGCTAATTGTGCCACCCGGTAAATGGTTAACCGGCAGTTTCAATCTTACCAGCCACTTCACCCTTTTCCTCCATAAGGATGCCGTTATTCTTGGGTCCCAGGTAACTACTCATCTACCCTTTTTATTCTATTTTACGTGAGAATTGATACATAATTCCAAATGGTTAGTTTTATTTTTCGTTTTATTATATATATAAATTTTGGATTTTTATCAAATTGTCTCTCACTCACAAAATTTTTCATTAAAGATTCAAATTTTTTTTTTAAGATTATTTTAAGGATTCGATTGACTGTCACCGTCAAAATTTTAGACCACTTTCAATTCGTCTTTGTTGTCAACTTTCGTCAAAGTCCTACCTAGTTGTTTTGGATTTTATTCTTTTAGATTTTTTTTTTTTTTTTATTCATCAACCTTTGGCCACAATGCCAACTTTAGATTTTGCTAAAATAAGTGACAACTAGGCCAAATTTTTTTGTCATTTTTGTTATTATTATTATTACTACTATATCTGTTTTGTAATTTTGTGGTAGAAGATTTTAGGGATTAAGCCAAGGTACTTTTGGTCGACGTGTAGAATTGAGAACCAATAAGACAAGAACGCTGTGAATTTTTATTTATTATTATTATTATTATTCTGTCATCTCCTAGTTCCGAAAAAATCTCAGTGAATTAAGGCCTTGTTTATTTTACCGATTCGAATTTTCTTACGGTAAAAAGTTTCAGAAACAATTATATCTAACATTTTTTGCTACAGTAAAAAACTCTCACATAAAGTCACATCTCAACTCAAATTAAAAACTCGAATTAGCGAACTAAACGGACTCTAAACATGTTTTTTTTTTCTTTTAAAAGAAAGGAAGAATTAAGCACGCTCTTGTAACTTTGAAGATTGTTGTTTTCTGTCTTGGTACTTTAATTTGGTTGTTTACGGCAGTGCTGCTTATGGTCACCTGTGCATTTAGCAGTTTTGTACATATTGCACCTCGCTGGATTTAATGATCCCAAGAAATTGACATGCTAAACAATTAGAAAAATATACATGGACAAAAGCGATTTAATGAGCTAGTGACAAAATAAAACGATGAATATAATTGGATATTTGTTCCATTGATCTCGCTCGCAAGGATTAGTATAATAATTAACCTTGATTTTCAATTTCTTGAATTTACATGATTAATTTTGATTGATAATAAACTTACCAAATGAGAAAAATCCAAGTTTTATAAATAAAAAAAAAAAATTCGACTCTTTCACATTATCACAGAGGAGAACCCTACCAAAACCTGTCTAGTATAAAAATTACCGGAGTTGAGATGACGACGAGAATATAAGGAAATATAAGAGAATACTTCATAGGATGGTCCTTTTTTTTCTTTTGTTTGCCAAGTATTTTATTATTATTATTATCATTATCATCATCATCATCATCATCATCATTATTATTATTATTATTATTATTATTATTATGTATGAACGTTCATTTTCATGCTAACTAATTATTCAAATTAAATGATTAATCAAAATGGACAGGATGAGTCAGAGTGGCCATTGGTTGCTCTACTCCCTTCTTATGGAAAAGGTAGAGATGCCCCTAACGCAAGGTTCAGCAGTCTCATATACGGAACAAATCTCACCGATGTCGTAATTACTGGTAATTAAATTGTCTTAATCTTTAAATTAATTTTTTTTTGTTTTTTGGTTATCATAGACAATAGAGTCAATAATTTGGCTTTGATACCATAATTAGGTAATAACGGGACAATAGATGGACAAGGAGCTCCTTGGTGGACCAAGTTCCGAGCCGGTCAATTGAACGCCACCAGACCCTACATGATCGAGATCTTGCACTCTGATCAGATCCAGATTTTCAATCTCACTTTGATCAATTCTCCTTCATGGTTTGTCCACCCCATATACAGCAGGTTTGATCATCTTATAAACCTCTATATACTCTCACGAATGTCTAATTTTTAGCTTTAAGCATCCAAAATAATAATAATAATAATAATAATAATAGTAATATAATCTTAGGTAAAAAAAAGCTTTGGCTAAAAGAGGCCACAAACAAATCCCACACACACAAATCTTGTAATTAGCATGCTATTGAGCAGTATTAATGGGCTTTGATTCAATCTCACTCAGGTTCATGTTATAACCGAATTGAATATATCTACTATTTGATTGAGTCAACATATGTTATTCCAAATTTCCTGATCTATTGACCGTCCTCTCAATATTATTTTTCTTGTCATTTAAATTTAATAATTTGGTATAAGAAATTACTTAACCAATTCAATGAGTTGTCAAAATAGCATTAGAGAGACCATGAATGAGATGGGAAAATAGGTGAACTAATCTAAACTTTTACTTTATCAATTAAGCTGATTTGTGATATGACAAAATATCTTATCGGCAATTAAAGTTTTGAAAATCGTAAAGATTTTTTTTTTTTTTTTTTTTTTTTTTTTTTGTGCTTGACTAGTTGCAATTTCGTACTGGTGTTACGTGTATTATTAATTTTTGTGTAAATTTGATACTAGCGCGCGTCATAATTATGCACTATTTAGTGGAAATAGGTATTAAAGAAGCTTGTAATAATATAACATTTTCATAGAACAGTGGTTAAGCTTGTACATAATAACCCGTTTACCTTCTAATGTGTGACTAATTAAAATGATCTGCAGCAACATAATTGTCAAAGGGCTGACAATTGTTGCGCCAGTTACCTCTCCAAACACAGACGGGATAGATCCAGGTGAGTCAGTTTACCATTATTAACAATATTAATCAATCATCTATTAACATTAAAATTAATTCAATAAAATGACCAATTCTACTAATCAATTAACTATTTTCTCTCCTTCTTCTTCTAGATTCATGCACAAACATGCTAATCGAGGACTGCTTCATCGTCTCCGGCGACGACTGCGTAGCCGTAAAGAGCGGCTGGGGCCAGTACGGAATCAAATTAGGAAAGCCGACAAAGCAACTTGTCATCAGGAGACTCACGTGCATCTCCCCCGACAGCGCCACCATCGCCCTTGGCAGCGAAATGTCGGGCGGGATCCAGGACGTCCGCATCGAGGACATCACCGCCCTCAGTACGCAGTCGGGCATCAGGATCAAGACGGGGCGCGGCCGTGGCGGCTACGTCAAGGACATCTTCGCCAGGAGAATGACTCTCAAGACCATGAAGTACGCCTTCTGGATGACGGGCAACTACGGGTCCCACCCCGACCCGGGGTTCGACCCGAAAGCCTTGCCGGTGATCGACCGGATAAACTACCGAGACGTGGTGGCAGAGAACGTGACGTACTCGGCCAGGCTTGACGGGATTGCCGGCGACACGTTTAAGGGGATTTGCATATCGAATGCGACCATTACGTTGACAGAGACGCCGAAGAAATTGCAATGGAATTGCACTAACGTCGAGGGAGTTACGAGCAATGTGACTCCCAAGGCCTGCGATTTGCTGCCGGAGAAGCAAGGCAAGTTTGACTGTCCTTTCCCTAAGGCTAGGTTGCCCATTGAGAGTGTTCCTTTGAAGGCTTGTTCTTTCAATTAGTCTCTTCTGAGAGACATATATTATTTCTATTCCAGCGAATGATGACGCTATAGCTTCAATCCGATTAATTCTTAACAAATTAGTATTTGCAATTTGTGAGGGTCGTTCTAGCTATATACAAAATTCTTAATTAATAATAAGATAAGTAAATTATTTTTGGAACTCCATAGAATAGATTTATTGAATCACACAAAAGAGATAAAAATAACTGAGGCTATTATGTGATTAGTTGATATTCAAAATATACAATTCAAGCGGGCAAGTCGAAAAAGAGATGGTTGAATCAAAATAATATATCTATATAAATATATAATTATGAGTTATACAATGTGGGATATAATATATATATATATATATGAATAAATATATGTTGATTTCCCATGTTGAGAAATAGGACGTCCGACACTGTGTATGGTTTCAAAATTCAAACCAACCAAAATGTTTTGGGACACTGTCAAAGAAGTGAGAGTAAAAGCAAACTCATAGCGATTACATGGCATTTTGCTTCCTAAAGATATATTTCCGTTTAATTCACTGATTCAAATTTTTAATTCGAATTGAGATATGACTTTATGTGAGAGCTTTTTACTATTGTAAAAAAGTTAGATATGACTCTTTTTGAGAGCTTTTTACTGTAACAAAACTCAAATTTTAAACTCAAATCAGTGAAATGAACGAGGCCATCGGCTTGTCCTAATGCAATCTTTTTTGCTGAAAAAAGGTTATTGGTGCCACCACGTATTTGTTCTTATTGTTTGTAAAACAAATCTAATGGCTCACTAATAGGACGGCAAGGATATGATCACTCAATTTCACTTAAATAATGGCTCAGTTTTACTCGGACCACTACGAATTCAACACCATACGATCAATTGACCGGACAAAGATCTTAAAGTGGGATTTTAAAGTAATGAATTCTTGAACCATTTTAAAAGAAGAAGAAGAAGAAGAAACACCATCCTAATCACCACACCATCCAATACCCATTGTTGGTTAGGCACGAAGTGTTGGATCCATTCTTATTATTGTTGTTATTTTTTTTCTAAAGAATGTGTGAATCTAATGTGAACTTCACTTCAAGGAGAAAAAGCATATTTTATCTTTGTTGGAGTTTCCCTCGTTGTCTCTTGTGGGCTATTCGGATAAGAAAGTACTCTCCTACTTTACCCGACAATTCTCAATTATGACAAATAATTGTCAAGAGATAAGGAAGGAAATAATTAGAACGCGAAATATACATTTCAGATATATACTAGCTAGCTGGAGAGAAATAATAGCTCTTCCTCACCGAGTAGCAAGTCACGTGGCTCGAGCATGTGAATAACATGTCCCATATTAGGCCTATGTTGCTCATCAGGATCAACGCAACGAAGAGCTATCAATAGAATCCGCTTAAATTCCTTCGAAGAAGGCATCTCCCGCAAACATGGATCTATGACATCAGCAGTTTTTCCTCTAGCAACCTTAGACTTCAACCAATCCACTAGATATGGCTGCAATATTAGAGCGGATCATTCAATATCTATTCAAATTTAAATAGGTAAGGTTTTAAGTCCGGCGGCTATATGATACAACAAGTGTAACATTTTTTATTTAGACTTATAACTTTTTAGTATGACATGGTAAAATTAAAACAACTTTAATCTATTTTAATGATAGACTATTTATTGAGCAATGTCACAGTGCATACAAAAAATGTTAAAACTGCTGGACTGATATGGTTGTATATTTCCTATATATATATATATATATATTATGTATATACATAATATATAATATATAATACACACACAAGTGTCTCAAGGTTATAAGGAATTTCATACTTGGTTTTTATGGCGATCTATTTGGCTTCTGCCTGTTATAATCTCCATCAAAAGTATTCCAAAGCCATAAACATCCTTTTTTTCGGTGAAAGCCCCAGGAGATGCACAATTATCTGGAGGTATGTAACTAAATGGAGTCCACACAAAATTAGTATAGTAAAATCATGCGTATATATTGCCAACAATTTTCTTTATCAAAACAAAGAAGCATATATAGAGAATCAATTTATAAGCAAGAGCAAAGAAATTGCTTATGTACCCTAACGCTTCCATTATCATGGATACCCACTGAGGACCAAAGAGACTAGCAAGGCCAAAATCAGCAATCTTAGGATTCCATTGGTGATCAAGCATTATGTTGCTTGATTTTAAGCTTCTGTGGAGAATTTTTTGTTCAATGCCCTCATGAAGATAGGCCAATCTGAATTAACAAATTCACTCCAAGTTATGTATTGTAAAACTAGTTTGGAAATTAGAAGATTATATAAAAATGTATACATACATACATATATATATATATATATATATGATTTCTCACATTCTCACCCTTTTGCAATTCCTCGTATTATGTTCATCCGAGCTTTCCAAGAAAGAGGGCCAAATTCTTTAGGATATTCACGAAGCCAATACTTCAGATTCTTATTATCCACATACTCGTACACAAGCATCCTAACAGGAATGAATTATTAATTAATAACAAAATTTCTTTTCATTATTATAATTTGAAGGTGCAATTTTTTGTTAAATATCGTAATTTGGTGTACCTGTGAGCTCCTTCCATACAGTACCCGAGCAGATTGACCAGATTCTTATGTCTAACATGTCCAATTGCCTCCACTTGGGCTATAAATTCCTCAGCTTGGCAACTGGCTGATTGTCAGCTTAATGAATAACGCGAAAAAAAAAAAAACACTGAATTTTAAAGTAAAAATCGTGTACTTGTGACCTTTACTATTACTGATTAATCCCGGAATGATATAGAAGAAGACGAGAAATGCAAATATAAAATTTATAATAGTTCGTTATTAATGTGAAAATTACTTGTACTTTTCGTTGCAACGAAATTTCACTGTGATGAAAAAGAAGATTACGAGTCCGTTTAGCTCACTGATTCGAGTTTTTAATTTAAATTGAGATGTGACTTTATGTGAGAACCTTTTACTGTAGTAAAACTCGAATCGGTAAAATGAACGGGGCCTACAATCTTAGACTCCGTATATTTTCTCTAATAAAATCTCCAAACCGGTTCTACGGGTACTAATTTTGATTTCTGAGCCCGCCTTGTAGAAAATTAATAGAATAACATATTTCAAAAATTGGGCAACAATTTAAATTATAATGGTTATTTTCTTTTCCTTAATTGACCATTTAAAACATATTTTCTATGATTCTCAAGACCTAGTAATTACACTCGTCTTCTGAGTGTAGATTCAATTAATAACTAATGGCTCGTTTAGTTTTCTGATTTGAGTTAAGATGTGATTTTATGTGAGAAATTTTTACTGTTTTTGAGAGCTTTTTACTATAGCTAAACTCGAATCGGTTAAATATGACTACCTGTTTATGAGTAGCTTCTTCACTGCCACACGAGTACCATCAAACAAAACACCACGATAAACAGTGCCATAACCTCCAGTCCCAATCACATTTTCTTTGGCCAATCCATTTGTTGCTACTTCAATCTCCAGCAGACTAAACATTTTCCTCCACGCATCCTTAATCACCGGCGAGAACGGGACACCAGCCGACTCGACATCGCTCGTGTAACTGCTGGTTCTGGTAGACCACTGGCGTGACAACATGACTGGCTGATCATATTGTCTAGAGTTCATCCCACTTTCCAAGAGGAGGCTCCTATTTAGGGATGAAGTTCTAGAATAGGCATTATTTTTGTTCAAGTACTTGGACAAAATGGTTTCTGGGAAATGTAGAGCTTGGGGTTTGTAGAATTTTCGTCTACGACGAATTAGGATATTGCAGGAGAGAAAAAGGATGATGAGAATGAGAGTTAAAAATGCAAAAGAGAGTGTAATTAAAAGCCATGGCTTGATATTCATGAGCTTTTGCTTAAGGAATGATAATATTACTTTGGAAGACTGCATATTCTTGAGTTTAGGGTTTTTTAACTTTTATGCGTTTTCGGCTTTTTCTATGACAGATGAGATTGAGTTTAACTTTATCTGTTCGATGATATTCAAATATACAAATTTGAGTTAATTAGATTGGCTTGACTTAAGGCAACTGCCACCCTTAAGTCAAGGCCCCTAATTATCAAAATTATTAACTAATTATCTTTACACCTCAAAATATTGAACATTATTAATTAGTTTTTTATTAAAAAAAAAAAACAAAAAATCTTCTTTCTTCAAGGCCCCTACTATTAGAATTATTAACTAATTAATTTTACACCTAAAAATATTGAACATAATAATTAGTTTCATTTTCTTTTAAAAAAATTAATCTTATTTCTTAAGTTTTAGTAAAAAAAAAAATTATTTCTCAAATTAATTTTTAGTATTTATTCTTTTTTCATTTAAGAATTGACTATATATATATATATATATATTTTTTTTTTTTCGATAAAATATTTGATAGTTCATTCTTTTTTTGAAGTAATTTTGATATTTCATTTTAAACATCACGTAATCCCTTTTTAAACTGTTTGGTTGAAAAACAAGAATAAAAGAAAAATCACTTAATTTTGCTATAGATATTGAACGTACCCCACTGAAAATCAGAGTATTGTTTACAATTCCAAACCCATAATAGATCAGAATTCTCGCGCCGCTAATTATTATTACTATTATCCTTCTTATTTATCAAACATTCAAGAAAACGACATGAACTTAACAATGTCAGAATGACAACATTTCAAAAACCGACAATACAAAAAACGTCATCCTTGAAAAGCGACAAGAAGAAGAAAACTAAAGAAAGCTGCAACATCTTCACAAGTAAACACCTAAACAGGCAACATCTCGAAACAGTTAACCAGAAAAAAAAAAAAAAAAAAAAAAAAAAAAAAAAAAAAAAAAAAAAAAAAGCAACATCTCCGTAAACGACACAGTTGTATAAAACATTTCAAGGTAGCGACATGAATTAAAAAACAAAAACAGCACACCCAGGAAAACGACATAATGGCAAGAACCACAAAACTAGAGAAAACGACGGCATCTTCGAAAACCACATATTTTTTCAAACATCATAAGAAACGGAATGACCTGAAAAAAGAAACGCCTAGAAAAACAACTGAACATCAATATTATCTCACAAAAAGACGAACCCTGAAAAGTCAAAACTGATCTCATCTGTAAAAAGAACTGAAGACAACGACAACATATTCGTCAATGAAACAAATCTGCGACGAACAATTCTGCTAGCATGAGCATGCAGTCTAGTTCCGAAGAGTATCTCTAATACAATGCCAAATTAACGTGTTAGTACAAAATGTTGACATTTAAATAGCGAAAGAAAATCACTCTTCAACACAGTATTATTCTTTGTGCTAAATTAAACCAATGTTGTATTAGTATATTACACATAGTGCTACAAAAATAGCAGTATCATGAACCAGAATGTGCCCATCAATTGACTAGCATATACTTAAATATATAACTTTGTTATCACCACTCGAAAGTCCAATAATTTTGCTTAACCAGTTAATGGTTCCTCTTAATGTTTGTGTGGTTTTTTTTTTTTTTTTTTTTTTTTTTTTTTTACAACAGATACAACTCGTCGTAAAGGTAACCCCGGTATACGTTTGGCCTACTCGTGCTAAGCCTCATAATGTGGGAGTGGGAATTTATCAAGATCTTCGGATAAATATCAGTCTACGCCCTCCCAAAATCGTGTGAAGCCCGCAAGCACAACTGCTCTATGACACGAGGCTTATACTTTTTCTTGACTGGATGCAGCTTGATCTCATAAAGCGTCGGCCATAACTTTCCTGTCACTGCAAATTTTTATGGGCATAAACATACATATTAGACAGCACAACGCTTATATAAAAAGGATTTAAAAAGAATTTTTTTTTTCTTCAATAAATAATAAGAAGGATCGCATCCCTTAGAAACAGCAATTATTCAAGTGAACGACAAAAAGTTTGAAAAATAATACAACCTGCAAAACGACAACACAGGAACTACAATATTGAAGAAAACGACAATGTTAGTAAACGGTACAAATTCAGCAAACATCACACCGAAGAAAAAAAACGACAAAAAAGGACTCAGAAAACACGACAATCTCTTGAAGACAATATGATATTGTCTAGAAAAACCACCACAAAACCGAACAAAACGGTAATATTTTATTAAACGACACAGTTTTACCAAACATCTAAAGGAAACGACATGAACATAAAAACGACATACCTATGAAAATAACAGAACGACAATATTCTGAGAAACGGCCGAATCCTAAGAACGACAAGAGTCAAAAATGCAGAAAAACGACAACATTCTCTAAAGAAGACATCGTACTTTCAGGGAAAAAAAGAAAAAGAAAACACAACTGCAAAACTTTTAAACGACAAAGTTCCTTAAAAGAGACACCTAGATAAACAAAACACTATTTGAACCCCCCAAAAAAAAAGGAACGACAACATGTTTAAAAGATAAAAACACGCATCATCCAGAAAAATAATAAGAATCACAAAAATAAGAAAAACGACAACATGATGGTAAGTGACGGGATTATACGAAGCATCGAAAACGACAAAGTATAACGAGCCAACGACTAAACAACATATTGGAAATTGTCATCATCTTAAACCAATAAGAAATGCAAAACTAAAAAAGACGATAACATCACCTAAACGACACAATTCATTCAAACATTTCGTGAAAACAACATGAATCTAAAACACTGACAGAACATAACAGCTCGGAAAACAACAAAAACAAAAAACAAAAATCACAGAGATGATAGAATGACATCTTAAAAACAAATCAGGACTTACCGAAAATCCGGTCTTTGACGCTATCCCATGCAATTCCATTAAGAACATCAATACCCTGGAACATAGCAAAATTGAAAATAAGTCGGAAAAAGGCCAAACTTTCACTTTTCTCTCCTTTTTTTTTTTTTTTTTTTTTTTTTGGTGGTAAGTCCACTGGCGAAAGAACAAATTTTTATACAAAGTGAAACATAGGTGAATTGTCATTTTTCAATTGGGGAATCTATATGCAGAAACTTGTATTTTTATCAATTGAAATAATAACTCTATACTAATCACTTCGTATTAAAAAAGGTAGTATATAGAAAGCATAGTTTTGGTTCTAATAACTTACAGTATAGCCTTTCCGTAAAAGTCCCTCCCTGCAAACGATAGAGGAAAATACCATGAAACTCTGAACAAAAAAGGAAACCCCTTGATGTGTTCCATGATTGGTAGACTTGTTTACTTGAACAATAAGAACGAAATCAAAATGAAAGTCTGACCTCAAAGTTGGAAGGAGAATCCACCCAAGCACGCTGCCATCTTCATGTGAGATTCTAGCAATGCAGTCCGTCTATGCATTAAGAACGCATTATGTTAAAGAAATATAGAACATTTCAAAATAAAAACTGCTTTTAAGTCAGATATATAGCAATATTTTGAAGCAGTTTTATAAACTCTTCAAAATAAAGCATGAATATAGCAATATATTTGAGACGTTGTAGCATTATGAAGAGTTGGAGCATGTCTGAACCATTAACTTAATGCAATTGAGCGCAGCACTGAAAATATAGAACAAGGAAAGAATTATACATTGTTTCACTGTACAGTGATGAAAAGACTTACCATCCAAACATTTGCCCAAACTTCACCTTTTATAAACTCCAGCTCATTAAGGTTGTGCACTTCATAACCATTGAATTTGACTATTTGTTTATCAGTAACTGTTTGAAAGACAATAAAATAAAGCAACAAACAAACACGAGCACATGAGAGAATAATAAGATCAAAACGGAACAGTCCCCATACAGTGGGAAAATCACTTGTTCATCAATATCTAAACAGAAACTGCAATTAATAACTTCCAGGAGCAGGATTTTCGATCTAGTGCAGATCACCTGCCAGAGACCCCCCCCCAAGGGGGAAAAAAAAAAAAAAAAAAAAAAAAAAAGAAAGGATAACTTTTATGGACAAAAGAAACCTTTCAGTGTTTGAGGGTCAATCTTGTACAATATTGACGTCCCATCACTTCCAAACATCACTTTTCCATCAGTTGCCAGTCCCCAACCATCTTTCATCTTGTGAGTAAATTTCTTGAACTGCATTAAACACGAAGCAATAAAAGTCATCACAAACCCGGACCTGGAAATTAACCTTTAAGCACTAAGAAGAGGAGGCACATCATTCAAAACAACTTTTTCAGCAAGCAAAATGTTAACAGAAACCGCATGCTAAAGGTTAGTAAATAGGTTATTGTAAGATAAGAAAAAGTAAGAAATATATCCCATCTTTAAGGGGGAAAAAGGATGAAATATATCCCATTTTGGTCAACCTAAATTGATATACAAAGGAGCAATTGAAACATGGTTGAGATTACCTAACCGATGTCTCATTTCATCCGAAGCAAAACATTATTGACAAGTGAAATCCTAGAAAACTGATACTAATATCTCAAGATCAGCTGGAAATTTCACTGATATGCAAAGGAGAAAAAAGTTTAAAATAGTAATCACAAGAATAATAACAAGTCAAATGATAGGAAAATAATTTGGAAAGCAATAAAGGTAAAGTACCAACTTTGCTTAAATTATATCGGTCATATATGAAACCAGTTTTCGTCAACCAAGTTACTTGGAACAGCCTACAAAGGAACACATAAATTTCTAAATCAGCATTACTTGAGGATTCTCCGGCATTACTTGTGCAATTTATATGATCAAACATTTGAGCATAAAAATGCCACCTCTGAATTCTCATTACTCCATTTTTCAGCAAATAAAAAGAACAAAATGCAATATATACTTTTTACTCCGATACCTTCTATCAATTAGAGTTAAACCCTCGCCAAAATAGGAGTCATCCATCCTTTGAATAACCTCAACCTGTAATACAAAAATAGCGATCACTTTCAAATTTAAGATTTTGGCTCATCACGGCACTAGAACCAAGCATTAAAACTGAATTTAATTCAACTGTGTTACTCCACCACATATAGTTGTCTTGTTGGTAAACTAAAAATCTACATTATAAAAACGACTACTTAGGAAGCACAAGAATTTGAGCCTTATTAAGTGATATCAATAATGAAGTTGCCAATGACATCATTTATTGATCTAAAACTTGTAGCTATCTATATAACTTCCAAAATTTGTTTACCTCGGCATAAAAATTATGCAGTTAACTAAACAAACGACCGATCTAGAAAAGGGTTTTGCGACTAAGAACGATACCTTCCCATTTTGAAGAGCTACGTTTCGCACCGTTGACTGGAACAACAAAATTCATGAAGTCAAATTATGAAACACTCAAAATCACTCTGTTATGTAACAACAGCGTGAAAGTAATTCATGTAATGCAAAATATGCCACCAAGTCAATACTTCAAAAAATCAATTTGTGTCTGCATACATGCATACGAAAATAGTGAACCCTGAAAAAGAACATGCAGATTATGCTATGGATGCACCCTAAAAACCTGTAGTGGGAAAAAAAATCGATAATTAATTGAAAAAAAAAAAAAACAAACAAACTCACCCGCCCTTTGAGGCCAGTTGACTCAAAAAGGGTATCATTTTCAGCATAAACAAGCCCCTGAAGACAAAAATACGAATCAAATTGTTTCCTGAGATAAAATTACATATCTCCAAAAGGACTATCTGAGAATTAATTATAAGGTGAAACACAGAAGAACCGGTTAATGTTAACTATCAGTTCAAGTGTCACTCAGTAATCAAAATAAACCAATAAAAATCGAATTTGTTTTGTTGAATACGCAAGAAAACGATCTGAAACGGGGAAAAAGGAAACATCTAAACAAAAATTATTTCTTTCGTCGTAGAAATCAATCAGGGAAGAGAATTACCTGGGTGAATGCTTGGGGATCGTGAGGAAATTCATTGACGACCTCGATCGAGTAAATTGTGGGCGACACAGAGGAGGAATTGAGCTTGTTCCACATGTTGGAGGAAATGCCGAGGGTAAGAACGACGCAGAAAATGAGGAAGACGGAGAAAGTGAGAGAGATTTTTCGGTAATTTGGAGGAGTAGGCCTGGAAGCCATGGAAGAGTAGGAATTGGAGCTGGATCGCTTGTTCAGTCTCTTTCTATGCGATTGCGACGACGAGGCCATGGAATGGAGAGTTAATCATGAATAAATGGATAAAGGCCCTTCAGGGGTGCGTACTGCGCAGGGAAATTGCAGGTACAAAACTCGCGCTAAAATGCGCAGGCGCCTTTGGTTCGCTGACTTGGGAGTTTGGAATGCTGGTCCAGATTCAGAGCTCCGACGATAGCTTTTATAAACAAAATAAATAATAATAATAATGGATTTCCTTATCGTGATTTTTTACGGCGCGTTCTGAATTTTTAACTGTTGAAAACTTAATTAAACAATTAAAATAAAATATTCTATCAGTAAATTTTGTAAGAAGTCTCACCGTAATAACTTTTAATAATATAATAATGATAATAAATGAATTAGTAATAGTTAGTTTTTTTTTTTAAAGGACTCGTTTGGTATATAAGTTTAACTTAGTAATTTTAATTATGATTTTTAAAATTTAATTTTTTATATAAATAAAATATTATAACATAATTAAAATTATGTGTTTACACTATCACGCTAAATAAGCACTAAACGACGATATATGGTAACAAATATGATAGTATCAATTAAAGAACAACTTTAATTTTAAGTGATATGGCATAATGCCATGATATAATTGAAAAAACAGACATGATAAAACCAATTAAAAAACATTTTCATATTTGAAATTATACGATATTATTGAATAGAGATGTGTATATTAGAATTGGCAGATGATTTAAGTCCGTAATTTAGCCAATTTCAGTGTTTCAGAAAAAAATTTAGAAGAAATATGTAATCTCAGAATACTCATGTAAAAGGGTATAAATATATATATATATATATATATATGTATGTGTGTATATATACATACACGAGGATATAGTGATAGATATAGCCTAATAGACTACTATAAAATGTAAAGTTCGAATTTTCTCACCTTCGAATCAAAAATAAAAAATATAAAAAAATAACGGTGATGATTTTAATATCACATAAAGTTATTAATTTTTTTTTCATAAGTTGGTGTTCTACACTTTTAAAAATTGACATAGAAGTTGATATAAAAAATTGACACGTACACTTGAACTCTTGGAACTTTTAAAGCTTATTTTCTCATGCAAATGAAAAAATTATTGGCACTTGCAAATCAAGTGATACGGATCATTCAGACCTCAGTGTAATATGGCTCTTTAATAATAAAAAATTAGGTGATAATGATTATTAAAAAAAAGTTTTGTACTGCCTTTTCTAAACACTCACCGGTTCGATAAAGAGGTAAATAAAACAATGAAAGAGGGCTTATAAAGAGTAAAATATAAGTGTTAGGACTACTATAAAATTCCAAAAAGCCAATTTGATCTACCAACACTTACAAAAAGACGTGAAGAAAATAAAAGAAGCAGTCCAAACTCTGTCTTCAAAAACTCTGCTTACATCAGTTCTCAAACACTGAATTGCTTTGCTGCTAAACTAGACCGTAAAGACAACAAAAAACAAAAAACAAAAAAACATACAAAAATCAAGTAAAACTTGAACTAGGAGGTTCTGCAAACCCAACAGCAAATAAGAAATTCACAAACTTTCATAAAAGCCAAAGTTCATAAACAGTATACAGGAATAAATGCAATACACTTAAATTGGTACTAGCCACATCTGAAACGCATTAGATATTTGCTATCTCCGTGCATCAAAAATGTCATATACTCGTTATCACTTATCAGTTGTTTAGACTGAAAAATGCCTGCTTCCTCATTCCTCCTTATAATATTTGTTCATCTTTACCAACTACATTAGTAGCTTTTAATTAACAGAGAGCATATTTTGTGCAATCGAAATATCCGGTCTTGGAGTCTAAGCCAGCAAACCAGAAAGATTAAAGATCCCATCAATGTTAGTTCTATTATTGATAGTCTAGACTCTCAAACAATAATAGTTCCAGTCAACGTCAACAGCTTTATTCACATGATGAGATTTGATCCAAACATGATGTAAAAAATTGTGCATTCACAACGCAATCTTGGCAATTCACAAATGAAGTAGATTTTTTACCCTAAAAGAGGGCTGGAAGTCTGCAGGCGCGCCTCCTTTGTCACCAGCAAAATCGCCCGAAGGCCCACGAGGACCTCGCTCGGTATCCATCGTGATCACCAAACCTCGAACCTCCTTCAAAGCGAGGTGGGCCTCTAGAAACACAAAATCATTTACAAGCATTAATGCTTAATCATACAGAAAATTGGCACGGCGAACCCGAAAAGCGAGTATTATAAGTAAAGCTTTGCACTTCCGTGGACGATCACCAGGCGGACCACCCGTAGGGCGACCGAGGGGTTTTGCGGATTTCTTCAAAGTGGCGGGCACAATTTCAGACGGAAGATTGAGTAAGTCCTCAAAATCTCAATTCCATCATTGGTAAGGTACCAGTAATAGTGCATCCACGCAAATGTCTCCCTCACATACTCCTTAGATTTCAAGCTCTGCATCAGCTTGATGACCTGCAGATTCGGAACATCAATCTCGGGGTGCTTCGGGAGATTAAAATCCTTCTTCGCGTAACAAACTCCCTCTTTGGACATTAAAATAAAAAAAAAATAAAAAAAACAATGTAAGATTTTTGGCAACACCAACTTAACACCCATACACTAATGTCTTTTCCTTTTTAATGCTTTACGAGAGAAAACACAACCATGTTACACGCCTACATTATTGAATTCAGACAATAATTCGACTATAAAACAAATAAATGAAAAGCTGAAAAATTCCCATTAAAAAAAAAAAGAAAAGAACAGAAATCAGAGAATAGAAAGTGAGAATCATAAATTCAACAAGATATAGGAGCGACCTTGAAAGTGATACTTGCAGATTTCTCGTCGATTCTTCTCTGGTATAATCTGAACAAGAGAATAAAAGTAAAAAAAAAAAAAAAAAAAAAAAAAAAAAAAAAAAAAAAAAGTTCAGCAAAAAGTAGCTTGTCGATAAGCGTGTGGAAAGGGAGGCGAATGGTACCATGGTTGGAGAAGACGAGAATAACCAAGCCCTTGTTACGTTGGGTTGCACTTGCTCGGTAGTACAGAGATGTGAAAAACCCTAGGCACTGGCCAGTAGCTAGTAGTAGTATCACGAATTCACCCCCCGCTAAACATGAACAACAAACCCACCTTTTTTTCGTAAACAATTTTCTGACCATTCAGTCTTTTTTTTTTTTTTTAGGGAACCAATCTGATATCTTGCGACATTAGCATTTTTGCATCATTCACTAGAACAAGAGTTTTTCTTTATCAATTGACATATCCTTCCACACTTAAACGTGCAAAAAAATTTACGATTTTTTATTCTTAAAAAAAAAAAAAAAAAAGGTCTGTAGACGCGTTTGAAGAGGGAACACAACCCCACCTAGACATGTTATAGAACATAGATTATAGATATAGACATGTAATATAATTGTATCAAACAACAACAACAACCGGAAATATGCATTGAAAAAGGAGATAAGCTGCCAAAACCAGCGCACAACATCAGAAGTTTCAAAATTAGGTTACAAGGCACACTAATATCTGTGCCTGTCTTGCACAAACAAGAAAACATGTGATGAGTCAAAACTTGAATACACGGAAGCTTGTACTGCTGACTTTACAGCTGAACAACTATACATTCAAAGCCCTTCTCTCTGCTTTTGTTCATATATACATAAACTGGAATGGCAAAATTCATTAACAGTACGTGTATCAGTAGCCTGATAACACTTGCAACTTTGTGTAGGGCACAAAATCGAATTGACAGTTGGGGTGCGACTTGAAACTCTTATTTTCAAAATTCACACCTTTCTTAGAAATTTATCTGCCTGCTTTTATGTATCTTCTTCTCCACATGAGAAATCTCTGCAGGCAAATCCACCAAGACAGGATGGGGAAGCTTCAATTTAGGTGCTATACAAACGAAGCAACGTTCATGGGTTGGTCGTTATTAATGGTTTTGTTTGCTTCATTGTGATTTGTAGTCTCCGATTCAATCTCATAGGATGAAAGCAACCTTCTCTGTGTCAATGAAACAAATCCAGGTTATACTTGGAGGAAGTGCGGGACTAAATGAACTAGCTTTACCTATTTCTTATTTGTTATTTTCGTTCACAATAAACTTATTACCAACGAACCGCAAGCAGCGTTAATCATTCAATTTGAGAAACGGCAACAAACTAAAAGAAAGACTACCATGAGAAATCGTTACGCCTAATTCATTCTTTAACCATTTAAGATGTCCCGAGACCCAGTTTGTGTACATTGAACCATTAACTGCAAAAGGACTTGCTGAACCAAAAGGCTATTTTCTCGGTCAAAGCATAGGCCAAAGTTCAGTGGCACGGATACTTACATGATCTTCAAAATCAGGGCTGGTTAGATTGATGGATAGATTTCTCATCAACAGTAACACCTGAAGAAGAGCCAACAATAGAATACATGTTACGCGTTCCATTATGACGTGGGCTTACCAAAATATTCAGATTACAGAAATCTACAGCTGTCAATATTTGCAAAAGAATACTCAAAATAATATTTATGAACCAAAACCTGAAGATTTTGCCTAAAGTTTAAGCACTAACCTGGATGTTAAACATCAAACAATAACAAACTTACAACATTTGAAGGAAACGTACCGTCTCAACATCTATCTGGTCCATCTTTTTTAGTTTCTGTAGATGACCTGAAGCATTCGGGTCAAAGACACTGCCAATGAAGCTATATACTTGAGCAAAGTCTGGAAGAACTGCACAAGGAAAAATGGGCATCCTGAAGCATTCTTACCAATACAGGTACAAAGGAATTGAAGCCCTAGACCATCTCCAATACTAATGTTATATTTGGCACAAAGTATTAAAATGGCATATCTGATGTGTTATTCTCTTTTGAGCTCCACTACAACCCATAATATTAATTCAAATGCTATGCCTACGTTTTGTCATAAATTTTAAGCTTCAGAACTGGTAAAAGTAGATTTTAAATTTTTAAATAATTTGAAGATGACAATGTTGTAATTGTTAAATGAAATGATAAAATACCAACCAATAGCAACAAAATACCAAGTTTTGGCATGTGCCAAACTTAGCACCAGAAATCGCATTGTATTGAAAGTGGTTTTCCTACCCAAATCCCAAAATTTGGCGTTAATTTGGCAATGCTCTTACCTCTCAATTGATGACTATGATTTCCCAGATCAGTTGTCTCACCAATCGCTCGTGCTGCCAGAGTGCTTTCAGTGCTACTACAACAGTTGTTTGCCGCGCTTGGGGCTGCAAAGAACATATATGGAGAATTAAGATGCCAAGTTTGGGAAAGAACATCATTGACATCCATAAACGTAGTCATCTAGATCACACCAATGTCAGTAAACACATTATTTAATAATTCAAACCTTTGGCTCCATGTGACAAGTTGACTGTCTGTGCAGAATTGTTAGTCCATGAAGAGAGAGAAGCACCATTACGTGGACTCCTGAGTGAGGAATCTGGCATTTGAATATACCCAGGTTCAAGTACTGCAGATGAAGAATGAAAAGCTCCAGACACCTGTGTGAGTGCGGGCGCTGAAAGCAAAATACATCACTAGGGTAGGTTGCAATAAGATTGCAGTTTCATAATTTTTTTATTATCAACTTATGGTTTAGAAAAACAAGTACCATGACTGTTTTTAGAAGCTTTCTGAGGATATGGATGAGCAGCTTTACGCTTCGGCCGAGGGGGAGGTAGATGTTCACTCGTCCCATTCTTCTGGACCTTCAGAAAGTATTTCTGTGCATGACTACGTATCTCTAAAAAAAAAAAAAAAAAAAAAAAAAAAAAAAAAAATTTCATATCTCGTGGGTAAAAATATTTGTAAACTAATTGATATTTTCTACTAAACTTAAGACTACATTAGTTAAGATATTGCCTATTGCTTCCTGTTGGTGCCCTTAAAATGAATGAACCAAGAACGGTAACTGGAGATAACAGGAAACATAAAGATATTGTTCTAACTCCTTCCAATAATTCATATCAGTCCAAGTTTTTGAACTGAACCACAGAAATACTATTTCAAAACTAACAGTACCTACCATTAAATTCTCGTTTGCCATTCAATCCTATATGCACTATATCTCTTCTGAGGCACACTCTTCTCAATCATTTCTATTCATGAATTTAAAGAATTGGGTTGTAAACAGTAAATTCCGTGCTTTTCTTGTTGGGAAAATAAAAATCAAAGAAAAGTAACAATAAATTATAAAAGAATAACAATCTTGACAAGTAGATCGTATATGCAATACAGCTAACCTGTATAACTGTTTTTGATCCTACAAATGCTTCAATCTTTTTCCAGTCACGGTCAAACCTGAATAAAATCAGTGAAAAATTAAAAAATGTAAGAATTAAAGTATTAGGAAATGAAAATAGAAACAACATGAAACTTGAAAACCAAAACCCTCTAACGAATCAAGGCCAAAGAAAAATACTTGTCACTGGACAAGTAAATTCAGCTTTACAATTACCCAAGAAAGAAACTTTCAACCAAAACCCTCTAACTCCACTCATTGAAACTAAGGCCCGTTCATTTCACTGATTCAAATCATAACTCAAGTTTTTACTAAGTGTTTTCTCTCACATGATTTCACTTTTTAACTCAGGTTATCAACTTGAACAAGTGAAACGAACGAGGCCTAAAGCATCTCAACTGATTAAACAACAACAACAAGCCTTACTCCCAACTTAATTGGGGTCGGCTATATGAATTTCACTTTTCCACAAAGAAAGGTTATTAACCAATCGTGGGGCTTTTACACTCATTATAGTCTCCAATGGTTATAAGTCTATCTGTTAAGCACTGATGAAGCTGTCTGTAACCAAAAGTTAATTAAGAAGATAATATAATGTTTATATTATAATCAAAACAACTAATGGGGTGTTTGGTATGAGGATTCGTGTCATGCTTCGAATCATGGTTCGCGGCTCGCTAGTGTTTTCTCTCACAAAAAACACACGTAAACCGAAAATAGTTCTGAATCATGGTTCTAAATCCATGAACCAAGCATCCACTAAATGTTTCAAATTCAAGCGAATGTCTAACAAACGAAGTACACGAAATTAGGTTCAATTATAGTCATCCAAAATGAATTGAATTAAAGTCTGAAACTAAACTAATTAAGATCCTGAAACTATCATTCGATGTGCTCCTGTGCGAGTGTGGATGTCCACATTTAAAATGCAAGAGTAATAATACGTCCAATCGATGATACGGAGTTTCGGTGCATTTGGTTCCTCTGCAGGCTGCTCTGGTTGGGCAGGTTGCTGGGGAGCTGGCGTCAAAGCCGGTGTGTGCGTTCCTTCTCCTAGTGCAGGTAGGGCTTCGGGGCGTGTGCGCTTGGTGCGGCCGAGTGCAGTTCTTCTACGAACTATTGGTTCGCGAGTTCTCTGTATCGATCGGAGTGCGGCGGTGGTGATATCGTTCAGCTGAATTGTTCTGACTTCAAAGGCTCCGTAAAAGCATCTTTCTGTGACGCGCTGGTAGCCGTCGATTCGAATCTGTGCTGGTACGATTCCATCTGGGAAGATTTGCCAATCATCCACATCTCGTGGTCCAAGCCTTGGAGTACAAGCTACTCCAAGTATATACCCAAGTGTGATGTCTTCCATGCTGAAGTTACCTTATGCGGGAAACCATGCACAACAGGTATTATTAGCATGCCAGTCAAAGAGCCAAAAGGGTCGGCCCAATGTGTCCGTGATGAGGGGAGTCATATTCCAGAACTTCCTCTCCTGCATGATAGCGATAAGTCCATGTAAGCATGTGTAGTTGGTGTTCCAACCGACAATACCTAAAGGGTTATCTGCTCTCCAATTCACTGGTTGTTCAGAAAAGATCGGAATATACAAGGTATCTTCCATCATTCCTTTCAAGTAAGTTGGACGTATTGATGCATTCAATCGGACGAGATACTCGTCATAAAACAGACTGTATAAGGGTTCGCCCATAGAGAAATGCTGCTTAAATGCCAAGGGCGTGAGCTTCTTGACGGCCTCTCGAATTGGTGGGTACAAATCATGTATCCAACATGAAACGTAGACTCTGGCTGCAAAGGTCCATTGTGTGAGACCTGCAGGAACGTCAAACTGTTCCAAGTATCTACGAAAATGTTGCCACTGTTCATGGAACAAAGTCGAGTAGAGAGTTACGAGAGTGTTAAAGATGTTAGTCGCTTGCAATAAAGCGTAGCGTCTATACTTCTCCTGATGATCCTTCTGCAGATAGATTCGATATCCATCTTGTAAGTAATCAGTGGCCTTGCTAAGACTTGTGCTAGGCAGCTCTTGTATGTGAGGGGCAATAGGTTCGATGACTTCAGTGTCGTCTCTGGCGTGATCGTGGTCAGCCATCCTGTCGTAAGTAGGGGACTATTATCTCAGTATTACACGTTAATAAATTGTTACGAATTTATCCTTAGTCAAAAATTGCTGGTTTGACCGGAAAATTCTATCTCAACTGATTAAACAGTACAAATAAAATTCTTCCCTCGCAATTAGATGCAAAATGGATGTCAAAAAAACCTATCATAACAGCCATATAGTAGGCTATCCAACAATTATCTAAAGACATATGGCATACCCTCTTTTTATCCATAGTGCTATTCCAAGCTTCCTAACTTATAGAAGATAAATGCCCTCGCCTTAAAAGGAAAATCACTACAGAGAGAGAAATTCTGGGTAGTTTGTATCTTCCTCTCCGTCTCTCTCTCAAATTTTTTATCTTTTTTTCCTTCTCTCCACATTTAATCAATATTAAATTTAGCTCTGAATTGAAATGAAACACTGAACATTACCACAGGGGTCTCCAAATTTTTAGAAGATGGCAAAATGGGCGTCACATGTTTCCTTTTTACAACTAAAAAGCTATATATCCCAATCCTTTCTTTGTTTTCCTACACCTTTTCTCACATATAGAATCTCAGAACCAAACGAATTCCCAAACCCGACAAATCAATCCCAATTAAAAACCCTAAAACCCTATTTTCCCCATTTACAACACATTCGCAAATCACAAATTATCCATATACACATAATAGAGATAGAAAGGAAGAGGAAATCGAGAGGGGAAAGTTAGAATTTACAGTTGGAGGGCTTCAAGGAACTTGTCGTGCTCGGGCTCGGTCCAGCTTTCTCGGGACTTGGTGATGGTGTAGGGCTTTCGGATCTTCTTCGACAAATCCTCCGAAGACGACGTCGTCGAGGCCGCCGCCGCCGCCGTGGCGGTGACTGCGGCGAAAGGGCCGAGGCCGGGCAGCGCCATTCCGTTCGGGTCAAGGTAAAAGCCCTCTTGCGGGTTCGGGTTGTTGGATACCATACACAACTTTGTTCAGTTCAAAGCGAAGAATAGCGAAAAATTACAATTCACAGTACAACCACTCTTTTTTGTGGAGACTGGAGAGGCGTTTTATGCCAGGAATTGGCAGTGATTACACGCGGCGACGGATTTGATTATACGGGTATTCACCCAATGAGAGCCCGCCACGTTTCCTCTTGGATATCCGAGAAAGTTGGCAATGCAATAATCGCTACTTTTTTTCCTTTAGAGAATCGACTCATGTTTTAATTTTTTTTTTTGCTGATCTATTTTTTATTTTTATTTTTTTTATAAATTGTCTGAAAATTTACCTGGTGAAAATAAAATTGTAAGTTTAGGCCGAGCTAAACATGCCGGTTTAAGACTTGTTACTGTCGGTTTGATCCGGCCCCACCTTAAATTTTTTTAGGTAAATGTACTAAGTAGCATTTTCTTAATATAGTTTTAAAGTAAATAACATATGGCTTGTTCTTTTGAGTGAAAAATTCAAAAAAATGTAACTCGAGTTACATACGTTTTAATTCTGATTGAGATTATTTTTTTTTCTATGCATTGACAACGAAAGACGAATAAAACCCGACCCATATACCCTATTAAAATTTTTCATCAGCATTGAGTTTTTATTAAAATACTATCTAAATACAAATTCAAGTTTTGACTCACTCAAATACAAACTTAAAAAGATTTTTATCTCAAACCATAACTCAAATGTACACAACCAAACACAAACTTAAGTTACAAGTTCAACTCAAATTATAACTCAAATTCAACTCAAGAATTATACTAAAGTTAAACTCCAAAAGAATAAGCTCGTATTGTTTAAAACTTGATAAATTATAGCATATTTTGATTTTTGATTTATGGTTTTCCAAATATACCCATCCATTTAAGTTTTCTGACAAATGCTTCTCTTTCCCCCAATCTCTCTCTTTCTCCACGACCTCTCTTTACCAGCTCCATGATTTCACCTCGAGACATCTCTCTCTCTTCAAGGATAACTCGCTGCCGTTGTTGCCAAAGATTGGAGATGTGATTTCTCCGGTTCTCTCTCTTGCCTCGTTGCCGTCATCGTCGATCTGTGGCGAAAAATCAGAGATCGCAAAGTGAGATCGTGATTTCCTTGCTTTTCTCTTCTCTATCTGTCGGTTCTCTCCCATCGGCGTTGCAACGCTAATCTGACAGAGGCGACGTTCTCACAAATGACAGACTCCAGCAACTGCGGTGGTTGTCACCTCATTCTTGGTTCTCGCGAACAAGATTCTGTTAATAGGCTGTCGTAACCTCCCAACGAGGGATCTCGCACCACCAGATGCGTCGCGAACCAGTTCGGCCAGCGTCGGTTCCATGGAGTAGATCCCGGCCAATGATTTCTGTTTTTTGTCTCTCTTTTTTTCTATGGGCTTGTCAATTTTTGTGCTTTGTGCAAGTAATTTTTTTTATGGGCTGACATGGCAACAACGGGAACCAAAAGACATTCTTTGTTTGATAATGTATTTATGAAATGTTTTCAAAAAATAAGTGTAATTGTGGTATTTGGTGATTCGTAAATCTGATTTGTTATGATTTTTAGTTTTTAGATTTGATTTGTTATGAGTTTATGATTGTTGGGAATAGTGTCCTAGAAGCATGAGATGTAATAAGATATTTATTATTTATTTAATAAAAGAGTTTATTCATTATTTTATGTGCATATATTTATGAATATTTTATGAATATCAATGAAAATTCTATGGTTATTTATGTAACCTTAAACATTGTATATAAGTGTTATATACGAGAGGATAATGTTTAAGGATAATAATCAAAAAGCAATGTTCATAATGAATTTAATTAAAGTTCAGAATCTTTAATTAAAACATTATTAATACATGTCATTCCCATTAAGAATGGAACGGTGTTATCCGCACTGTTAATATGGTGAGATATTGAATGAGTGTTTTTCGCATAATGAGATTATGTGGAACAAGGACACAGACACAATATGAATTTCTAAAAATTCCGTTAAGTATAGAAATTCTAATTGAGTCTACCGATGGTCATATATAGGATGATCTTAATCCTGAGTTCTTAACAGACTCCTATTTATGGATTTGTGTCTTTTGATTTACTCGGTACGGATTCTGAGATCCTGAATCCTATTCCTTGTATTTTAGAGACATGATGAAGTAGGTAGCCGGGAATGTTATTACACGAGATGGAATCCATTCCTTCTTAAGAAAGAAGTAGATAAATAATTCTCTTGTGGGTTGATTCGGTACTTGGACCAGTAGGAACTCCGATTCATGAATGTGTTTTATGAATCACTGTCCATTAGA